AATCGATATAACTTTGTTTTTTTTTTTTTTTTTTTTTTTACAATTAAGATGCCAGTGTTTCAACCCACACAAAACATGCAAGTTTCCAGTGCTTTAAAAATAGATCCCCAGCTGCAACCACCGACCCCCCACCCAAGCAATGAGAAAGAACTAAAACCGCATGGATTGACCCCAAAAAAGTTGCACGGCCCCTTTTACAGCACCAGAATCAGCCCTTCACTCTCCCCCACCACGTGTTTTGGAAATTGCAACATCTACCTTGCTTCTTGTCCATCGCTTCCCAGAAATGCAGAGCAGCGCGGGCACGCCTGGCAGAAAAGAGGGATGGCGAGGGCTGGAGGGAGGGGCGGGAAAAAAAAAAATCCCGCAGGATCCAGCACTTCTTGCAAGCACCGATGGTTATTTTCAGCGGGAATGCATGGCCCGGAGAGCTCGCCGGCTTCACGCAGCGTTCCTCGCCCGGCGTCCCCAGCGCTGGTCGGTCTCAGCTCCGCTTACCCTTGAAAGCTCAACAGTTGTAAAAACTGCAGCGGCGAAATAGCAGGTGACGTCAACAGGAAACTGGGGGGGAGCCAGCTCCAGCTCCGGGAGCCATTGAAGCGCCGGATCGCTACAGTGCATCCCGGTGGGACGCGTCTTCTTCCGACAAATTCAATCATTCAAGCCCAGCCTGCAGGCAGAGAGGCAGAGCCTGCTCCCACCTCTTCCGTCCCCCTCCCCAGGCGTCCCGCCGGAGCGAGCCTTGCTCCCCCGGCTGCCACCCAGCATCGGAGCGGAGGGAAGCCCACGCTCGCTGGTTTGGGCACCAAGGGGATGCCGGGATAGAAAGAGGTCACATTTCTTTGTGCTGCAGGTGACACGCTAATTGCTTTGCCACTAACAACTATTACCACAACAAATAGTAGAAATATTCTTCCATGACAATACCAGCACAGAGGTTAGCAGCTATTCCAGGGTGACAACCGAGACGGCATCTCTGGTGGCAAAAAATAAATTGCTGCATGGATTTGGCTGGTAAATAGCAAGGAAGAGAGAAGAGGCCATTGAAAAAAAATAATTCCTTTCTCTGTGAACATGTGCAAGAAAAGCTGTGGCAAAGTATCGCCGCTCTCCCTCAAAACCAGCCTGGCAGAAACCAGCGCTGACGCTCCTGATCAAAGCCAGACTCAGCTTTGACGGGCTGCAGTTTTGTTCTCAATTTCCCTGGCAGCTTGGAAGGGAGATCCTTTACCAGCTTCTTTACCTTACACTAATTATAGAAAATCTGCCTCCGGTTCGCTCCTGAGCTATTCCCTAACTCGTAGGCTGTGCCGGGCCATACA